AAATATAAGATCATTTAACAAGAATGTTAAACATCTCGAATGTGATAGATGGTACAAACAAGCAGATATTCTCATATTATCAGAGTCATTCACCAAACTCGATGACGAGATTATCTTTGAGGGTTACAGTTTAATATTCAGAACTGATTCATCCATTCGATTACAGGCCAGAGGCATCTTAGTATTTATGAGAAACAATACAAATATTGTGAGCTCAGTTTTGAAACATATCAAATTAGAAGAACACAACAAGTCCCATTTAGATTTAATTCTTCTTAAATGTGACGATATAGAAATTGTGACAGGATACAAGTCACCATCTTTCAGAAATTCCACATTTATGCTAAATTTACATAATTTATTGACAGCAATCAACTCAGATGCAAAGCGGGTATTGATAGGTGATTTTAATAATGATTTATTCCATGCAAATGATGGTTTCAAGGAAAGTTTGAATCAATATCGTTTTGTACGTGGGCTGCCACCTCAAATATCAACGACGGACTTTAATACGCAAATAGATATTATATTCATCAGCAATGTATGGCATTATGTCTCTGGAGTATATGAAACATACTTCTCAGACCATAAACCGATTTTTATTGCATTACCTGCTACGAATGATCGGGTCAGTGAGCAAGATATTGATGAAATCGATATAAAAATGACAGATGAAAAAGAAACATCTCAAATGAATTATGAAGATCAAATATCGAATAAACCCACAATAATTTCCGATAAAATCCTTCCGAAAAATAAAAGAATAAAATGAGACATCAATGAGTATTACCATAGAAAGAGAATGATTAATAATATGCAAATATTAATGAATGGAAACATTTTGGGTATCATTCAACGCACAAATAAATCATTCGACCTGCGGAATAGCTGCGGCTTTGACAGCTTAGTACAGATTCTAGTCTCAGCTTATGGAGCTAACTCAATTGTCAGAAATCGGATAGATTTTTCAGAACAAAGAACACTGAAATTTATAAGAAAAGTTTATCAAAATAACAATAATGATGATAATTCAATTTATCAAATGTGATTGGATATTTTTCTAGAACATAATGAATATTTTATCAACAGAAAACAGTCGCATTGGAACCGTGTCTTCCTAGATGGTAATAACAATATTGTCAATTTGAGTAATAAGATATTCAGAAGAGAACAAAGTTATTCTGTACATTTGAACTGTCCCATGTGTTCTGATGTAATTGGGGCTGAATTAGTAATCATACCAGACATAGACGCAATGTTTGAATATGATTATAACAAATTCATTACCATTTTGGACATAACAATCAAATTTTGGAATGCTCCCGAAATCATAACAATGTAAATCAAACTGTAGTATTCCATGAATGTCGTTTCTTTGAATGTCCTTCAGATCATAATCTCAAAGTGCCATTGAATAATCTACCGAAAATGTTGAATATTAAGAGCGTATCATATGAACTTGCAGGGGTGGTGAATTTTATCAACCCCGGAGTCATTGATAATGAAGCTATTGGACATTATAATTGTTATATTTTTAAAGACGATGAATGGAGAAAAATTGATGATTTGTTACCTAATCAAATTATAACAATAGAAAATTTTAGAGAGGAGATTTGCCCTCATTTATGTATATATGTGAAATGTGATAGAAAACTGTGATAATGATAGCAAGCATTTAATCACTGTCATGCGATGACAGAAGTTATGTTACAACGTAAAGTATATAAATGAACTGTAAAAATTGATTATAATAATTGACTCCAATAATAAGTTATATTGATTCACGATGAAATGTCATGTGTTTCATTAGTAGAATGGATCAAGTATTCTCAAGTATTAGATTGACTTATCTAAAGCGGCAATGAATAACAAAAACTGCCATTTTTGAGGCGTCACATAGTATAAAAAATGAAAACAATTTTCAATAACTTGTTGAACATTCAATTGAAAAAGGTTTACCATACACCGTTCTAAAGAACAGAAAATGTTCCTTAGAATAATGTACAAATATCCTTGCTCTGAAAGAGAGAAAAATACTCTCGAGGAGCAAACGAACTTTTGTCATAATCTTTCGCTCGGTTTGATGCAGAAAAAACTTAGGGATTGGCGGAAATATTGAGATTCTTGTGACGAGATTGAAAAATCTCGTTCAGAGATCCGTCTTGTGACAGGAAGAGCAGCCTCGCAAATAATAATTCATTCCAGGTTGCCTCAATTAATACCGATTTTGGTTGCCGTTGACACAGGGAAGGAGCTTGTAGCGATACGCATACGTCTACAAGTTTCAAATAAATCCGAAAAAATTTGGAGGGGTGAACCCTTCCCCCTATCCGCAGGGAGTGAATTGTGAAATTGAATGATCATTACATAAAAAAAAGTTTTTTTCCAATTTTCTGCACCATCGATAAGGGGAAGGGGGTCGCACCAATACGCATGCACCTAGAAGTGTGAAATGAATTCCAAAAAATGGAACGAGTGAAAAAACTCATCCGCAAGAGGAGGGTTCTGCAGTAAAATTATTATTTCATCGAAGGAAAGGAACGTTTTTTTCAATTTTCGGGCCATCGACCGGAGGAGGGGATTACACGGGGGAGAGGTATACCCACACAGATAAGATTTTTAAAGGAATATCAAGAGGATAGAGGATGGGGAGGTGCCAGATGGACGAGGGTATTGCAATTCATCAATTAGTTGAACTAAAAAAAAAATTGAGAAATGTTGGGGTGAGAATTGGCTACTTTTGTGGATGAATGTAATTTTTGGGGGAAGAATGGGTTAGTTGCTAGCTATCTCGATGTAGATTTTCAAAAATCCACATGTGATGAATCTTTCATAAAAAAAAATGAGTTCATTATGAGAATAAATGAGGATGAAAAATTATCTGATTTCGAGAAATATTCACGTTGTGACATAATTAAAACTAATTAATTCTTAATTCATCTGATTCTATAGAAGAAAACGAAGGAAAACCCTTTTAAATGCTGAATAAACTCCCGAAAAATTTTACTGGGCATTTTCTTCTTGAATTAATCATCTTCTTTAATTCTTCATTCACCTTTTGAACAAGCAATTTCATAAAAAAAATTATGAAAGACTTTTCATTTCCATTTCTATTAGACATTTCCTCTTGAAATAATTTGCAATCAAGATAATTATATATTCAATAGAATGTGAAAGCACAATTTTCTCAAAATCTAAATTTAGATATTTTTTAAATAGCTCATTATCTCGTTATCAAGTGATTCTATGAGAAAATTCATCTCTCGAATTACGTCTTATCCAAATCATTGAATATTCAACAAAATAAAGAGAATAGGCCATAATATTAGAGAAATATTCTTCCAATTCCGATAATTCTCCTTCCCAGTAAAACCAAAAATAATGATTTCATTCGCAGAATTCGCTCTGACGTAATTCTCTCAACTTCCTTTACCTGGAATGCTATTAATTTTCTCAGTCTGTTTTTATTCCAAATGAGTATTTTAGCGAGCTGTCTTGAATAATTTTCTCCGCCTTTTGTGGATCGTAGTCGCCAGGTGATGGTGTACTCTCCATCTTATTGGTATAGGTACGGCCATGAAGAGACAATGCTGGCGCTTTGTCTTTACCTAAAATTAATTTGTCTCCCGAATAGCTATTGAATTTCATAATCCATTAATATTGTGTGATTGGATAGAACACAGAAATGTGTATTTCCTCGATTTAAATGTGGAAATGTCCCTATATTGTCATTCATAGGCAATCAAGGTGCGCTTGGAACATAGAGATATCATTCTGATTAAACTCGACTCTTATTCATTTTATGTCGCGCCGTGCAATAGGTCGAGTTTATCGAACGCTGCGCTTCGCGCAGCCTGCTCAAAACTCGACTTCTGCACGACTTGACATAAAATATTATAGAGCACTCGGTAATAAATTTCGTTTTCAATGAATGTGTAGTTTACAGGCCGAGCCGAAGGCGAGGTCTGTACACACATTCGTTGAAAACGAAATTTGTGCCCTTGTACTCTAATGTTCTATTTTGCCATAACTTAAAGGGGAAGTATATCGATGGCATCTGGAGTTAACGAGTGCCTGTCATTCCTACGAATGTGTATGGCTATGTTTGCAGGGTTCAAACGTATTTGTTCGATACACCGACGATGTGCAAGTCCCCTGGAATCTGCTGGCATTCGCTATTGCCTGAGGCTTCACTATTTTTGGACTTTTTTCTTCGTGATTTAATTAGAGGAAAATTTGTAAATAATTGAAGAGATATTTTTACCTTTTGCGTTGACCTATTGAACTATTGTTGAACTATGAACTATTGTTCTTACGTTAGGAATGAAATTTTTTGTAACAATCGGTCAAACGACCAATCAAATTTAAGATTGGATGAAGAATGCCTGGATTTCATTTAAACTCAGTTGAGCTCTTGCTAACATCGAACGTTCTTGTGGTAAGAAAATCACCGTCTAAGAAATGTTTGAATTGCTACTATCCAGTAGCTTCTCTTAGAATTTTTTTCTTCCAGTGTGTCGAATCCTCTTATTCAATATGGAAAAATCCAACACTGGTGAATTTTTCAATAGAAACATGAAAATCACTTTCACTTATCTCCATCATTCCGTTGAACCTGAATGGAGAAAAACTTCATCTACAAACTTCAGAATTATGTATGAAAAAAAAGAACGCTGAAATTGACATAAAAAACAAACAAAAGTAAATGATAAAGGTTAGAGAAGGAAGGAATATTTTGGTAAGATCGATAGATTTAGATAAATACAGAGAGTACGAAAAGACAGAAAGAGGGAGAAGTTCTGAGAGGCATCATAGAAAGAAGATATAGGAGGTAAACGAAAAACCATGAATTTTTGTTTTAAAAAAATATATACACAGAAGTGATTTTAAAAAATAGAAAATTTGAATTAAAAACAGTGACAGAATGGCACAACGAGATGCTGACATTTACGCTGGGCTCATATGCACGGCAGATGACGCATTCAAAAAGATAGGATGGTCACATCATACCGTCGAACAAAAAATGGGTGATTTGAGTTGATTAACCTTTGACATTTATAACTTCTTTAACCCGCTTGTAATTGCCCACATTGGTCAGTTCAACCCATATTTCTCATGAAATATCTCAGTTAGTGTTTTTTCGGCGACTAAGTGTGCAGTTTAATGGCTAGTTAATTAAGTGGAGATCGAAAACTATTAATTATTTATTCTTTGATTGAAGATTTTGAAGGACTGAAGGACGGAAAATTTAATGTGGGATGTTCAACAGTGATCAAGATTGGATTGAAAGATAGGCGACAGCACTCAGACTTAGGATATTACGAAACTAATGAGAAAACTAAAGGAGAAGCTTTCTTTAGAGCAAGAATGGTGAGATATATTGAAATGATCGCATTTTTTTTTTAATGCGAGGAAACGAGGGCATTAAATTCTCAATCGACTCTTCTTTTATTTCTTTTCAAATCTTCCTTTCTTTTGACACATAGACATGTCTTTCATTTCATGATGGGGGGTCATTTGCGAAGTTCTTGCCAGCGCTATCTATTGAACTCATAGATTTTTATCAAAAAAATCTGGGAATCTCGAGAAAATTCAATGAGTTCTTAGAAATTTTGAGAGAACTCAAGGAGTGTCTATGGAATGCGAGTCAATTCAAAGACTATCTAATCGTTTTTGGGAGATTCAAGGATTTCCTCCTGATTCGTCGTTTAAATTATTGTTTCTAACCTGCACATTTGACTCTGGAAACCATTAATTTCATCTCTTATCTCTGATCCTGCGTTTTCGACCCTAATTCGTTCATTCATTATTTATAACTGTAACATCTAGTTCTTATGACCTTCAGGGTTAACTTCAGTCTATTATTGACTTTTATATAATCCTTAGCCTCTATGATTTTTCAGATCTCAACAATCAACGCTTTCAGAAAAACATTGTGGTATTTTCAAGAGAGCAAAGAGATTATGAAGAAACGATATTTAATAATGGACTGCTTCGAAACAAACTGTACAGAAGAACAAAGAAAGAGGAAAAGGGATGCCATTGAAGAAGAGAAGAAAACATTTCATGAGCAAACTGCAGTGACTGAAAAGAAGCGAAGAAATGAAGAAGAACCACTAATGAACAAAGAACAGCGACTAGCCAAAGCTGCAGAGCAGAAAAAGAAGTGGGAAGCTACGAGAGGGAATAAAATGAATGGAGAAAAGAAAAATTCAGAGAAATAAAATAAAAATAAGGATATTACGTGTACGCGCGCACATAGAGAAAAAAAAATTATGAAGAAAGTCAACAAACATCATAAAAAAAAGGATTGAAAATTGGAATAAAGAATAATTATCAACAAATAAGGATTCTGAAGTTATAATATCATGAAAAAATTCTGTTGAAATCACCAATGGTGATTACTGTGTGTCATTCTCAGGTCCATTGTCGAACGATAGTCTTGTTTTTTTTTTATGTTCCGTCTTGATGTCTTGAACCAACACATGCATTCGCGCCCATGACAGTTCACGAGATATTTACATTTTTCCGTTTATTCACAGAAAATCATCTTTTTTTTGCATAATAATCACAGTAGCTTGTGCAAAAATAAAGATATCAACTGAAATTTGAAGAGAATTTTTCTCTTACGATAACAATAGTTGATATTCAAAATGGGCTCAATTGCTTCAGTATTTTGCGAGATATTCGCGATTTTTCTGGACATCTTGGTAAATGGTTCAAACCATGCGGAAGCTGGCCATCAATTTATTGATGGTGAAAAAAAAAAAGTTATAACCCATCAAGTAACGGTCAGATGCCCTCTCCCAAAAAGGCTTCAACCCCTGTTGTTTACTTTTACCAGAAATACCCGGGCGCTACGCGCGCGCAACTGCGAGCCGTGATTGTTAGCTTAGTTAAGTTTCATTAATGACATTCATTGACAGCATTGTTATGAGAATATATATCAAAAGAATGAGTGAATATATTTTATATTATGAGCACATTTTTTTTTCTGCGACTATGTCTACACGGAGAGAAATTTTCGGTGAAAATTATAGTCAAATTCAGATAAAAATTACCCTGATGGGACGGTAATCCTGTTGTAGTTTATTTTCGGAGCAAAAAATATCCTTCATATTGTGACAATGAGCGCGTTATTTATGCTCCTCGATTGGACGTATGGGAGGAAATCGATCGCGGGGAATTAATGATAATTCATACCTAGCGAAAATACAGGGTCTCTATAATCCGTTCGGAGGTTAAGGCGCTCAGTCCGACCCGCAGGCTCGCGCGCCACCGAGGAGGAGACTACAGGAACTACTAGAGATCATCTGCCATGCACCACGGAGCTCTGGAATTCACTCCACATTCAGAGAGAAAACCACTGGAAGAAAAGCCTTTTGAAGCAGGACTGGAGGGCCATTCCCACACATAACATCCTCCTGTCAACACTGGTGGTACGGCTCCATCCGAACTTAAACGGCTTTCACCTTCCGCTACACGGGGGCAGCATCTACCAGAGCCTAGTTACCGGCATAGGCCCAAGGGAAATTGGCGAACGATGGAAACGTGCCTCTCATTGGTCACCTGTCACAGGCGTACTGGGAGTGCAGGACGGCGCCATGACGAGGAATTATACCAAAATTCCTGATTGGCTGGGGGATCCACTGGAGTCAATTGGACACCCTCGGTATTAATTATCTACCGGCACTACGGGCGGCGTCACCAAATAGCTCCAGGGAAATGGAGCAACCTCATTGGTTTTCCGGAAGACTCACTCGTTCAACCGAGTGACTGTGAGCGGAAATGACGTAGGGCTGAGTAACCGAGGAAGATTTCCGTCTTCTTTTCCTCACTCTACGAAGTCATCTTCCAACTGTTACATCAGATTAATTCGTCTCCGTCATAATTGTGTTTTTCTTGTGGGTTTCTTCGTGTTTCTCGCCTGGGTGGACGACCTGAGAGGACCACACCGAAGGCGTTTCCAACCGCGGGGGGGCCTTTCGAGCGAGTGTTTAGGCAAAATTATCTGTGCGTCGTCGAGGACCGGACTAAATTCACATGGAGAGCGTCGTTGAGAGCGGGTTTAGAGTGAGTTGCACACATTACTTTAAGTGTTGCTGATGCGCGTAGGGTCCGAAGGCTGACTGCCTATGTTTGGAGAGATCGTAAGGCCTTTTTGCTCTCCTCTCGAGGGGAATTTAGAGTCCTTCGGTTGAAAAAGGGGCTTTGTCGTGAGTTCATGTTCGGCGCGGCCACGTGTTGCACATTCGACGCCATTTACCGGTTCGCATGTAGAGACTCGATATTTTGGGGATCTCGATGGAATTAAAGTACCTTATCACACCCGCTTCAAGTCATAATCACGCGGAATACTCTAGCGGATTTTGGGGAGACGTTTATCCGGCGCGAAAATTGATTTTTATAATTATTTGGCAGAAGTAAAAAGGGGCGCTAGGTTTTCTTACGGAGCTCACGTGATCATGCATCCCCTTCGGGGTTTGATGGTCACGATTAACGGCCTCAGGCGTGTTCCATTCGAATCCTATGGATTTATTCGCGTTTGTTGGATTGTGTCGAGTCAATTACCCGGCTGGACCGGTGAATTTTTTGTATTATTTTTCCTTTTCATGAATGCTTTTATTTAACGTTTTTGAATAAATCGTTAATTTTATAAAGAGGGGTGATGCTAGTCTGGTAGTTAAGATTAGTTACCTGGAGTTCATATAGGGATTTGGAGGGCTGAGAGTCCACATAGTATTTTTTTTTGTTTGTATAGAGACTCTAGCGAGAGAGAGAAGACTTGTTAATATTCTGTTATCGAGTTACGAAATATTACATATTGTGAGTGGCGTACTTGAACGAAATTATTATTATTTTCATTGTTTTGGAGTTCACGCCGAAGAGAGTTTTTTTTTTTTGAAGTGTAGTTTCTTTTGATTTGGATCTAATTGGTCAATTAAAGTTTGCGAGAGGCCAAGAACCTCCAGAAAAACCACATTGTTTTCTTTTATAGCAATATTCCTCGTAATATACACACTCTCTTAATTGTCTCTCGTTCATTTTCGTTATCATTGATTATTACTAGGCGTGTATTCGTCATCCTTCCTCTCTCCCTGACTTTAAATGGTTGATGCGAGCTCAAGGGACAACAAATCGGTAATCTTGAGCATTGTTCGTGCTCCGGCGGAATAGGAGCGAGAGGAAACAGTGTGATTCAAGGAGTCGTTCTGAGGAAGCTCAGGGTAACGAGGACTGGTCCACGAGAACCGAGGAAATCTTGTTTTTGCTTCCGAATGGAAGCATTGCACTGTGACGGAATTTTCGAGAATTCCGCCACCTGTACACAACTTCGTCGTAGAATTAAGTAAATCGTAAGAGTGAGTAGGTAAGTGTGAAATTATCGTGACCTTTTCCGAGAGAGAGTCGCGATTTCTTTAACCTCTAAAAGTTAGCACCCCTACCGAAGGGCGATGCAACACCCCTTTTAGCTCCAGCTCGCAGAAACCGGTCTCCAAGAACATCAGGAAGGGCCTCGCGGGGAAAACAACGTTCAATTTCGATAAATAATTAAATTAACGTGTCGATACACATTAAAAACGAGTAAAAAGTAAAATCTCCGGTTCAAGTAATATTAAAGTTTCTGTTCTGTTTTAGTTTCAGTTATTCTTCTGGTTTATTTCGGATTTTAGGGGATTAATTTTCGGTTTTACGGTTGAGGGAAAATTTACAGTAATTGTATTTTCCTAGTTATATTTTTGTATTTAAAATCTCACGGGTCCTGAGAGGGACGACGAGCCACCGTGGTTCAGAGCCGATAAACCGAGCTTCCCGGTGAGATCTCGCTGATCTCGTTGAGTGCAGCCTGCTGATTACAGAGGTTGAGGTGAAACACTCACGCTTCCTGGCTAAGGCGCTTCGTGGAGTCATTGGATTCACCAGTGTAGCTGGAAGGATATGTGGATGAATATAGCCCACACGTCTGCATGGATCGCCATGGGCTATTCTCTCTTTACATTCGTTCACGGTGACTCCAGGATGACTCCCGGGAGAGTGACAGCAGCGAAAAAGTGCACTTACTCAGGTGTGAAGTGCATTCGCGAGAGGAAAGGCGAACAACTGCCTTAATTTCCCCTTTCCGAACCTCCAAATAACTATCGTTCAGTCATTATGGCTAAAAACCCCTCGGGTTAATTCATAAAAAATATAATTAATGGCGAAATGCCTAAATAAGTCCAAAACCCATTTGAANGGCGAACAACTGCCTTAATTCCCCCTTTCCGAACCTCCAAATAACTATCGTTCAGTCATTATGGCTAAAAACCCCTCGGGTTAATTCATAAAAAATATAATTAATGGCGAAATGCCTAAATAAGTCCAAAACCCAT